GAAAACCGATAAAAACCCTGAAAACTATACATTTCACACCTGAGCCTCAACTCTCGCGGCCCGGTACCAAACGACTCACAGACCGGTACCGGTCCGAGGCCCGGGTGTTGGGGACCGCTGATCTATATAACATGCATATGTCAACATTTGGTATCAAGTCCCAACACTTCCACAACAACCAAGAGTAAACACTCCATCTTCTCTTACTCATAACCTAACTATGGACAACTATTCACAAAAATTACACCTGAATATTTCACTTTATTACCAGTGCAATATTTTTCTCTTATCTTTTCAATGTTTTGTTTAACATTTTAAAATCAAAATAATATGATCAAAGTAAGTCGCTGTCTGTACCTACCTTGGCTCTATAATCTTAGTGTCATTCTTTTAAGTGCCTTTTTCGTTGCCATCCAAACTCACATTTTTGTACATCTGAGCATCCTGGTATAGGGGACATGTGAGGACCAGGACCTGGATCTTATTCTGAAATTTTATGTGGCTGTTTTCTAAATATTCTGTATTCCACTAGAGTCTTCTTTACTTTGCATGCCAGGTGAGGCTTTATTTTCCAAAAAGGTCACTTATTCTGAACCTGCTTTCCTGAATGCCGTACACGCTCAGACGCCCAGCATCCACGTCTATCATTCTAGTCTTCTTGACAGAGAATATCACAAAAATATATATAGCATTTTTATTAAAAAAAAATACTTTTACTACTCTGCACACAGTGGTTCAACAACCAATATAAAAACTGCAAAACCAAAATAAACTGTATATCATCTATGATAAGGAAAAGAAGATAGCAACTGACGTTTAGCAGGGTGTCCAGATAGTTACCTTTGGGCCATCTTTCCTTGTTTTGTTTTTTGAGGCAAAATACCATAAAATTATAACATCAGGATAAGGTTGTTTTTTTTTGTATTGACTTATGTTGTGATAGTGTTTAGTTGGGCATTTAACATTAATATCAGCTGTCTTCAGTATATTATGTAAGAGGTTACCGTTTTATTTATACTACACGTTATTATATAACGTTTATAAAGTTTATGACATGCTCTATGACACTGAAAAGCAACAAAGTGCACAAATCCTGCATAAACTAACAGACTTTTAAGAAGTCCCTCCTAAAATTAGCTGAACTGTGAGAAAATTAGTGTTCAAGAAGGTACTTGTATGACTAATGTTGTGGTTCAGACAAAGTGTTATAGGTGTAATTGTTCCTGAAGAGACAGAAAATTGCTCATAGTGTTATAAAAGCTGCACACACCCATGGTTATGTTTTACA